GAGCATTGCCTGGATTCCGATCATGCCCTAGCGCACGCGCACCTGGCACTCACTCTTCCAGCTTCGAAGAAGCGCCTAACCTCTAACCGTCTTACCTTAATTTGATCTCGCAGTCTGCAGTTCAGCGATCTCATAACGAACTGGCCCACCGATTGTTAGTGATGAATGAGGTCGGTGGACCGAAAGCTGACTGCGAACCTTTCAAGTGCGCCATGAAGAATGCTTCTGCTGGCTGCTTACGCCCTACTTGAAACCTAACTGTGCTTAAATCTCTGGTGCATTGGTCAGTTCGATCGGAGCATAGAAACAGATTCCAGTGGGCAGCGAGTTTCAATGTACCCGTAACGCCTTGAAACGACGACTGACAAGGAGTCTTCGAATTGGCTGGAAACGTTGGTGAGTGTCAAGTGCCCGTGAGTTGGAGAAAACCAGTGCTATTGCCAGGTGCTTTTCTAGGTCATCCGGAATACTGGTCCGAGAAAGTCATCACTTATTGCGACAGTGGCTGAGGAATATGGACAGTCACGTCGACTAACCCGTTGTGCAGCTCAGCATGCCTGCTGCGACACTGCCGCTTGCCAAATCACTTGTGCGAACTTAGGATGTTGATGTCACTTCTCCAACTTTGGATGATATTCGACATGAGCTCACCTTGTTGAGCAAGAATAGGCTCCTCTACCCGATGACCTTCTTCCATCTTTTCTGAATCATAAAGTTGCTTCTTTGTTGACTAGACTTGCTGCTCTGTTTAACACGATTTGTTGCAACAAGGAGGTGCTTTCATATTGTCGACTGTCAACTGTTGTGCCCTTCTTCAAAAATAGTCAACTGACATTGCGTAAGTCATCGAGGCATTAGCCAAATTTCAATGTCCTCTAAACTTCTCACGGATGTGATTCTTCGACGACTTACTGATCCACCTGAGAGTCGAATCACAGAAATCCAAGCTGGTTTCCGCCTTGGCCGTAGTTACATCGACCACATTTTTACTCTTCGATAGGTGTCACAGCAGAGCCGCATCTACAGACGACCGACTTTTGACTCTGTTGATCACGTTAACTGTCCCACTAACTATCCATAAAGAACGTGCCAGCTAAACTTGCCATCCTGAATTTTCTTTATCGTAAATCACAACTCCTGGTTTTGTTTTTTGGCATGTTTTCGCCAGCATTGTCCTATCTGTTCTTCCCTCATCAACATAGTGATCGGAATGATCATGAATGACTGTTCTTTCTGAATCTTCGATAGTAGGAGTTCTCTCACGTGACCGATTGACAAAGCTTGAGGATGCAGACGACCTAGCTCACCTTGGGTCTGACGCAGGGGCTATGCAAGCACTACTACGCAGTCTGACGCGTATTGCTGCACGCTTCGGCGTGTGCTTTGCACCTTCAAAGTACAAGGTGTTATTGCAGGACTGGACCGATACACCACCGATTCTAGCCATCACCAAACAGCCAGTGGAAGTGGTTGATCGGTTCACTTACCTTGCTAGTTGTGTCACCACTAGTGGTTACATCAGTGAAGAAGTTACTTTGGGTGTGAGCATGGTCGGTGTGTTTTCCGGAGGCTCGAACACCTTTGGAGACGGCGGGATATCAGGCCGTCAGTGAAAGATAGGGTTTATAACGCCGTGATAAGACCGGTGTTAATGTGTGGATCCGAGACTTGACCAGTTCGCAGTGAAGACGTCAAACGCTTGGTTATGTTTGACCACCGGTGCTTGCGGAGTATTGCTCACGTATGGTGGGAATATCAGGTGAGCAATGCTTAGTTTCGCCAGCTGATTTTTGGCAAGAAACCTTCACTCGAGTGTTTGCTGAATCTTAATCGCTTACGTTAGCTAAGTCATGTTTTCCGTTTGCCCGTTGTTCGGCTTTCTGTGCATGCATTATACGCCGTGGCTGCACCGTTAGGCGAAACCGCAACGTGGTCAGTCCATGACGTGCTATAGAAGCTTGAAGAAATTGTCTGAGAGACTTGGTCATGTTGTTGCGTGTCTTTTTTCTGGTCAAAGGCCTCTGGACGGTCCACACCAGTAGTTGCAGACCCTCTCACACCTTACGCAGTCGTGCACTCAGTGACATTCCTGTATTCGATTTCTTACGTCTAGCTTTTAATCTTTATTCCACACTGATTAGTTTCGCGATTTTCTGTCCTGATACTATCTTTGTATTCTATTTGTAGTTGACTTCCTCTTCTTACCGTGATTATTAGTTATTAGTCTGTTTAATTAACTCGTGCTAACTGAATCCACCGCATTTCAGCGCCTAAATGTTAATTATTTAACCGAAATGAACTGGTTAGTCCAGACGATGTACCAGTAAGTGGAGAACAACATCCTTGGGACTACAGGTCAATCTAATGCCTTCCTTTTACGCCGCATTTGCTAGTTTATGAGGTTGGGTGTCCGTGGGATAGTGCAATCCACTTTCCGTGTCTGTTATTTTACATCGGAAGCCAATTGGGCCAATATTGTTCATGGGGATCGTCCAGTTCCTTCCCGGGAACTTGAAATCTGCTATACCTTGCCTGGATATTTTTTCGGCTTAGCTGAAATTATCCTAGTCTGTTACTTTTGTCACTTCATTTAGCTGTTCCGAAGACCGTGCCCATGCGTCCAACTAGAAATGTTACTTTTCGGGATATTTTATCTTCTCAGTCGCGTTCCTTCATAATGGCGAAGCATTGTATACCAGCAACCTAATGCTCATCCGTACAATGATTGCAAATCCACAGACCTCAAACATCCCTTTAGCATTGGCGACACCTTCAGACACAAGCAGAAGCAGCGAAACATTTGCAAAGCCAAGCAACAGCTGCTCACGGCTATACGCACACATAAATACATTCATGTAGCAAACATATGATACTCCTATAACAATCCTATTGTACTTTCCTTGATCACCTGTTGCACTCTTACCATGATCATACCTGTGCAAGCATTGCATCGCCTAACCGAGAATAAAATTTTATTTGTTTTTTATTTCTTTACAGTTTTGTACTAAGGCTGTTAAATTTGGATGTTGGATGGAATTAGCCACTTGCAGGAAACCATATTGTTTTCGGTCGGAATCGCATAGAAATCGGAGATCTACTGCTGTCTGAGCCATGAAGCAACTGGCTCTGACAGTCGTTGCTTTGTCGTTGCCTCCGCATATTTTTGTTTCCACATTTCTCCCATTGGACATTTGTCTGTAATTTTGTTTGCACCTTTATCGCTTTTTATTTTTTGTTATCATTTTGGTGGTGCAACTATTGGCAACCTGATCCACCTCCTTTCCTTCCTAGGATGCCATGTGGTTAGCTGACCACGTTACATCGCGAGTGCACATTTTTGATTTGTGGCTCATGCTAACTCCGGTGAATAGGCATCGCTTCGTGCATATACGATCACGTCTGTCGATCCCTGAGCAGCTTATCCTTTTTTATTTTTGTCGCGAACATTGTGGTTGTTTCGTGTTCTTCCATAGCACCTATTAGTGTGTCCAGATCTGAGGGAAGACTTGTTAACTATTCTAACAAAGCCAATCCAATCATGCGCTAAAACCTGGTATATCCTATTGGTCACGTCATTTTATATCATTGTGCTCGGCTTATGCCCGGGCATCGTCTTGACATATTTGAACTTCAGTTGACTTATCGGAGGATATCCAAATGTGGACGGCAAGTTATATTGTCGGTGAATCGATGGGAAATTTAAGGATTATCCTGCAGCTGTGCGTATAATTAATGCATAACCAAACTAGAGGAACTGCTTTACTTAATGGACTTGAAGTCGGTAGAATTTCGTCACATTTAGACTCACTCAGACGGCCGTCACACACCCCGAAAAAGCACTGTACACGCGTTTCATCCCTTCGGGAATCGTCAACGGGGAACATTCCATCGGATCTTGCTAGGGCTCAAACACGCAACTCGACAGTTGCCAGTCCGTGATTGAGACCACTGAGCTACGGGGGACGGCAACGACCATCATGAATAAGTTACTAGTTGTGATATAGCGCCATCATCATCATTATACACGTCAGCTAGAGGTGGGAAACACCTCAGCTACTGTGCCGCAATATATAAATGAAAAAGGAAAATAGATACAAAAGTTGCATGCCAACTGAGCTACCAGCAAGGGATAGGCATCGTTCCGGTAAGCTACCAGCCGGCTACTAGGCAAAAAGAAAAAAATTATTGTGTTTTACTCTAAATAATGAGATCGTAGGTGGAGGGGGAGGCCAAAAGGGTGGGGAGGGACAAAGAAACTCACAGCACAAACGCCACTAAGGTCGGCTCCTTGCCATGGCAGCAAGTGTATCCAGCCAAACGTGTTCACCGTCTTTCGGACCCCAACCAGGGAGCCGAGACGCTCCAACCGAGGCCAGCACAAAAGTGAGGGCCTTCATTCTTCTTGACCAAGTCATCGCTTGGCCACCACTCCTCTTCTTCCAACCACATCCCCGATGAGCAAACAACGCGCGTCGTGGAAGTCGATGGGCTGGCATGCGCAACACGTGGCCCAGCCATCGGAGCCTGGTGCGTGAAATGACGGTGCTGAGCGGTTCATTTTCTTTTTCTGTGCCGTAAACAAGGCGTCGAACACGCTCGTTATTCACGCGGTGTTCCCACCAGATGTGAGCCAAACTGTGAAGGCACCGATGGTCGAACGTGACTAGCCTCTTCAAGTCCGCCGATCTCAGGGGGCAGGTTTCGCAACCGTTAATGCCATGCAGAGGACAGGGTAGTCCACTCACCAAGCGACGAACTTTCCAAACTTAAACTGCCAATTGACTTACGGCGTTATAAGCAGTTTGGTCTGCTTACTGATTACAGAGGATTACAGAGACGATATTTGTCGCTTGGATAGATTTGGCCAATGGAAACTTCTCGTTGTAGATTTATCTTTGTTCACTACGCTCTACGCCTACTGATGGATACTTATTCCCTTTCCGTCACCCAATTGTCTCATGTGATTTGTGACTCGTTCGCACTTGTTTTTGCAATCCCAGGTCGACGACGTTGCAGATGTGCCCGTTCAGTGCCGCATATTTGGATACCAGAAGCTGGATAAATTCACCTGCACCCAGCCACCAACGGACGTATTCAAACCACTCCATTTAGACGATTGGGAGGCGGATTTCCCCGAGTCCGAACTTCGATCGCCTCGCAATTGACTCACTGCTGTACTTGTGCTATACACGCTTTACAACATGGTTTACCTTTTTACTCTCTCATCTTTCACATTAACAGTCACGCATTAGCGATTTCCCCCGTTTATAGGCGTTATTCAGACCTACTTCAAGATACTTGTCTGCCGAAGCTCGCCGCTCAATCAAAGAACCGTTTCGCATACAACGCATCGATGGTTCGCCGGCGGAATTTAAGGTTAGCGTCGGCGCGGCTTTTAACACTGATGGGCAGTGCTTTTGTTATCACCGGCTTATACCCTCTGGACAGCCCTGCAATCTGGTGTGCAATTAGATTATTTACCATTATTTCCTTAAAAGATACTTTACCCGTTTATTTAAAACGCCAGTTATTGCGGTATTACCTGGTTCAACACTGTCTAGAGTAGAGTAGCTTGGCCCACCCTGTGACCTCCAGGTAACCCTTTATTTTAAGAGAGAGAGGTGTTCCGGAGAGAGCCTACAGTCAGCGATCAAGCCGAGAGCAGTGGCGCAAAAAGTGGATCGATTTACAACTAGAGATCGAACTCGAGTAGAGATCAAAATGCGAATCTATGCGGGATCAGCGGCAAATTGGATCATGAACTTGAACCACTTGAGTTGTGTTAACTAATATTAATTAGCATCTCCAATATTGTTGTGTTAGTAGCTTCCCACGACCTATTTATTGTGCCATGCCCTCATACAATAAAAAATCCCTCCGTCCGGCTGGTCTCTGGCGTTCTCATTTCGTTGCGGGTTGAACTGATTGGAGGCGGTACAGCTAATTCAGTCAGGTTATCCGCACGCTCAGCGGAAACCAACAACAGGTTTCATGCGACGGTCAGCTGCGCGGTAGCAGCAGGTTAGTTGTACATTCAGCGACAACCACAACAGATCTACTGAATCGAAAGCACTCTTTAAGTCGAGTAACACAGCTATTGTAGCTCTACGGTATGCTTGGCGCTGCTCTAACACCTGCCGCAGAATGAATATATGGTCTATACAGCCGCGTCCTGGGCGGAAACCTACCTGCTCTTCCCTAATCCGAAATTCCCTTTCCGCAGTGAGTCGACAAATGAGAATCAAGACCAGTAATTTTGTCACCACTGACGGTAGGCTAATACCCCCTGTGGTTAGCACAGTCTGTGCGACTGCCATTCTTGTATATCTCCATTATAATTGATTCACTCCAGTCAGCTGGGATGGTTTCATCCTTTCATACATGTTCGAACAGAGTTAGTGCTTTGCAGAATGTGATGGTGACTAAAAGCTGGGGCGAAGGGAATCGCCTGCCTCAGTGCGGTCGATCAGGCGAGCGGACGAGGGAGTTTTTAAACACCCAGCCAATTGTACTTTGCCTCAGACTTATGCATGGAACGTTTGTGTGCTGAGCTCGTGTGTTTTCTTTCTGTTGACGCGGCATTGTGAACCAGGCCCACAACATGGTGACGGAGGAGAAGAAGCTGATGCGCCGGAATCTGGTCGCTTTCGGCGGACAGCCGTTGATCCTGCTGCCAACTGCTCTACAGATGACGAAAAGTACGCTACCTGATACTTGGAGAATGTGGAAAACGAAGTGGACGGATTTCGTCACTCTGACTCAGTTGGATTCCTCTCCGATGCTTTACCAACTTGCTATGTTCAGACACGCTATTGGCGATGAAGCCAGACGAGTACTTGAGACTCTGGATCGCGGTGATGCAGAGGAGCAGAAGCCTCAGATTTCGGAGATAATCAAGAGATTTGGCGATTATTACGCAGGTCAAGCAAATGAAACGTACCAAAGATATCTGTTTTTTGGTCGCAATCGTTACCGGATGAGTAAGTCGAGACCTACATTACAGAATTGAAAGCTCTGGCGCGAGCGTGCAACTTCTGTAATTGTATGCGGGACTCTGTGGTACTCGACCGCATCGTATTCGGTATCCGAAATGACAACCTCACTTGACGCCTTTTGAGGCAGAAACACCTGTCTCTAAGTCAGTGTGTGGATATGTACCTTAGCGAAACAACAACGTCATGACAGTTCCAGAATTTGCGGGCTAGGACGACAGAAGGACTTTGTACAGTATCGAAAACCAAGGGAGCCCTATCTTTGCCATCCGAGAGGCAGTAGGCCAGCTGTCAATCTTGTGGTCGGAACCATCCAAGACGAAAGGAGAGTTGTCCAGCTTGGGGAAATAACTGTATGAAGTGTACAAAGACAAAGCATTTCGCTCGTTGTTGCAGATCGGCTAACATCAGTGCGGTAGACAAGGAAAGTCAATACGACACACAGGAGCTCTCAATAAGCAACATGGAACATTTGGAGGGCAGAAGTACACTTTTGCTACACTGTTAATTCTAGGACGTCCAGTTCGTTTATAGCTCGATTCGGGAGCCACTGTCAACATACTGCCCGAGAGACATTGTGCTGGAGTAAAATGTACAGAAGCACGTAGTTGTCTCAAAATGTGGAACGGCTTGATATTACAACCAAAAGAAAAAGCTATCGTGACCGCTTTCAACCCTAAGGACGGAATGGAAGACCAGCTTGAATTCATGATTGTGTCAGCAGATCTTATGCCCATTTTGGGCATTGATTCAATCCAGCGCCTTGGTTTTGTTTCATTTAACCATGATCGTTTTGTTTACTCGTGTCAGGTTGTTCCAGATGTTGTTGCTTTCTACCCTGCTGTGTTCGATGGGATTATTGGGAAATTCGATGGATGCGCTCATTTATCATCAAATGAATCTGCTAGGCCAGTAGCAATACCAGCTAGAAAGGTGCTCATAGCATTGTGCGAAAGACTATTAGAAGGACTGAGGTGTTTGTCCAGTTTGGGCGTCGTAGTTAAGGTCAATGAGCCGACAGATTGGGTAAGCCAAATGTCAATCTTCACTAAGATATCTGTTGATTCGCATGTGCGTATCGACCCTACACCGCTCAATGCCTCGCTCAGAAGAGAGTACCATACCCTACTGACAATAGACGACATGCTACCAGAGTTATCAAAGTCAAAAATGTTCACGAAAGTCAACCACGCTTTAGACTTCTGGCACGTAGCACTTGACGAATTGTCTAGCTATTTGACTACATTTGGAACGCCTTTTGGACGTTTTAGGTGGCTTCGGTTTGAAGGTCTCCACTGAGATATTTCAGGAGCGGCTGCTGCAAGCATTGGACAATCTGTCCGCAGTCTTTCGTGTAGCAGATGACGTACTAGTTTTTGGTGCTACTCGGGAGGAACATGATCGTCACCTTCACCAGTTTCTACAATGCTATAGTGAAAGAAACCAAACGAAAGCATAAAAAAGTCGAGCTACGGAAAAAGGAAGTAGCATTTCATGGCACGTGCTGAGTTCAACAGGGTTGAAACAGGATCCATAAAAAATCTGCGCGATAAACGAGATGTGTCCCCCCACAGGTGCAAGCGGAATGGTCAACTACTTGAGCCGTTTCCTTCCACGACTGGCCGATGTGATGATACCGATTCGAAAGTTGACCCATAATGGTGAAGCTTAGCGCTGGGGATCTGAACAAGATAATGCCTTAAGAAGATCAAGGGATTAATTACAAAAGCGCCTGTCCTTGCCTACTTTGGTCCCACGCTCTTACTCGGGATTCAGTGTGACAGTAGCCAATACGGCATTGGAGCTGTGCTTATGGAAAGCCGCAAGCCTGCCGATTTTCGCAGTCGCACGGTCACAGAGGCCGAGCGTCCTTACGCACAAATTGAAAAGGAAATGCTGGCGCTGATTTACGCCGTAGAACGCTTCAACGATCATACCTTCGGCCGCAAAACAACTGTCTTCACTGACCACAAGCCTCTTGTATTCATCGCTAGTAAGCCACTCACTGTCGCTCCACGCCGCCTGAAAAGGCTGTTCATTCGTCTGCAGAAGTATGACTTGGATATAGTCTACCGACCAGGATTCTAGATGTATATTGCGGGCACCTTGTCAAGGGCGCACCTGTCAGACACGCCTCAACGGAAAAAAGACCCGGATTTTGTCCACGCAACACAGCTAATCTCGGTCGCTAGGGACCGTTTGTAGCAGCTCCAACGGTGCACGAAGAAGGAGGAACAGTACAGGCTCCTGAGACAGACGATAATAGACGGATGGCCCGAAGACAAGAACAAATTGCCCAGTGTTAATTCCGTTCTTTCATTTTCGCGACGAACTCAAGACGAATTAATATTCAAGGGCAACAGGATAGTAGTTCCGAAGGCATTGCGACATTCAATGCTGCAGGTGGGGTACACTATGCACATTTGGAAATCAACTTTTGTTTGGTAAGAGCACGTGAGCTGATGTTCTTGCCAGGAATCATTAGCCAAATACGTGATTACGTAGTAAATCGTTTAGCATACAGGGCACACAATGTGCGCCAGCCGAAGGAGCCAATGATGCTTCATGACGTTTCGGATAGGCCCTGGCAGATGAACGCGTTGGACATTTTTGTTCACGACGGGAAGAGCTATTTGATTGTGGTCGACTATTTCAGTGACTACTTCGAGCTTGATATCCTTACGTCAACCTGCGCGCAAGCCGTTGTGAACAAGTTACGATGTCAATTCGCTCGACATGGAATTCCGAGGTGGTGATTTCCGACAACGGGCCGCAATTCATTAGTGCGGAATTCCGCGCTTTTAGCAATAAGTGGGATTTTCGTCATTGGCTCATCAGCCCGTACTACAGCCGTTCAAATGGGAAGGCTGAGTCAGCGCTGAAGGAGGCGAAGAAAGTACTTACCAAAGCCAAGGTGACCCACGAGGATCCCTACACAGTGTTGTTGGGGCGAAAAAATACACCGTCTACCGAGGTCGGAGTAAGTCCGCTGCAGTGACTATTCAGTCGCAGAACTAGAACGCTGCTACCGGTCGCTACAACGCTGCTACAGTCCGTGATAGCACCGGACGCTTCTGTGCACAACCGACTACGAAAGAGAATGCTAAAACAACATAAGTACTATGATCGTGGATCGAGATGCCTGCCGCCCTTTGCTGTAGAAGAAGTATGTTTGCAACCATTACCAGATTCGGGAGAACGTTGGCGGAGGGGAGTGATTGAGGTCGCAGGGGTGAAAGGAGCTACGAAGTCAGGATAGGGAGCAATATCATTCGACTGGATCGGGTGCAAATTAGGAGAGCACGTAATGGACGGACTCCGCAAAGCGAGGATCGGCAGCAGCAACAAGAAAGGGTACCTGAAACCTCAGCCCGAGATAGCAAG